CTCCTTTTCTTATTTAAAAAGCAACAACAAAAGGTAGATGAATGGTAAAGCAGAAAGATATTATTACTCTGGCAACATTTACCATTATAAAGTAGACTAAAAAAATAAGAAGAATATTTTTGGACAGACCGAAACGAGTGAAAATCAAACAATGTCGAGTCACTTCATCTTTGGCCATGTGAAGCTTAAGCGCACCCCATCCAATCCCCCCCCCTCCCGTTGATGTGTAAGAAGTGGCCAACCTCTCGTGTGATCAGAATATTATATTGTTTGTAATATGTATTCGAAAAAGACAGGAAAATGAGAATTCTTTATAATAAAAAAAAGACAATGAGAAACCATCAAAAAATTACAAAAATATCGGGCTTGTTTGGGAATAGCATTAGAGATTAGCGTTAGCGTTTTGGATAAAATTTTAACGGTGCAGATTAATTTGAAAACGCTAAACGCTGCCCGTAGATAGCCTTTTGAAAACGCTAACGCTAATCTCTAACGCTATTCCCAAACAGACCTATCATCAATTTACTATGGCCATGTTTGGAAAACAGCATTTGGTATAGCTTTTGACATCTTTGACTGACTTTGGTTTTTTTGACCAAGCGAACCGCCAAAACCATTGTTTGGCTAATGACTTTTTCACTTGGCATTTTGATCCGAAAAGCCAAAATCTAAAATGCCAAGGGGAGTAGCATTTGAACTTGGCGGTTAGGAAAAACAATTTTTTTAAAATAATTTTTGTTGAAAGATATTTTATAATATATGTAAAAAAATAAAAATAAAAATAAAAGTTAAAAAAATTAAATACGAAAAAAATAAGATGAAATTAAAAAAATTTATATTTATAACTTATTATGAATTAAATGAAATTAAAATTTAATACTTCATATAGTAAAGATTTAATTTTTACATGTAAAAAAATGAAAAATAAATATCATGTGTGTCTATATATATATATATATATATATTATTTAATTTTTTTAATTTAAAAAAATATATATTTATATATGATATTTAAAAAAATTTTAAAATAAAATATACCATAAATGGAGGGATGTCCTTTTATGTAATTTTACTTACAAACAGCTAACTATAAACAGCTAAAGTTGCCAAACACTTAAAATTTAACTGCTAACAGAAACAGCCGGTCAAAACAGCTAACTCAATCAGTCATTCAAACCAGCTAACATAAACAGCCAACTGTCAACTGCTAGTGTCCAAACAAGGCCTATATCAATCAATCCATCACAAGCGATAAGATTCATCACAAAAGAACTTGGTTGCAGTTTAACTATAACTGGGACCTTAAAAAATCTATACAAAGCACACTGACACTCTCCCTACCACTTTCTATTTTAGTAATCAAACAATAAAAATTTAAGTGTTGAAGCTCCATATAGCAAATGGCCATTAGCAGCTAGCTGAGGCACCTAAAGATATCAGTGAATTTCAAAGGCTTTCCTGCATGACTAATTCAACCAGAGATCAATATAATACAAAGTCTCCATGAGAGAGAGAGAGAGAAAGAGAGAAGCGTGCTTTTATTATTGTCCGCGGTTTTCTGGGGTTGGTCTTCATTTACCTGTCTTGACATGCTCAGTTCTACTCTTTTCATCAAACAGCTCAGATTGCTTGCTTTGAGCTTCATCGACGACGTCTGGGTGCAAGAAGCTCGGCTGGTTGGTCGACGAAAGAAGTCGGGCCCACATCCTATCGGTTATCACAACCTGGTTTTGCTGCTCCGTGATGCGCTGCACAAGGGGAACCACTACTTTCATTGTTTCTACATGTGAGCCCTACTTATATGGTTATACCCGATGTTATAAAATTCTCTAGGAGACTGGCCCCTACACTATGTTTGGTTCAACAAATTTGACAAGGAAAATAAAAGAAAATGGTATCAAAAACAATTTTCTTGTGTGGTTAGAGAGAAAATGAAAATAAGTGCAAGAAAAAAAGAGGTAATCTAAAAAAGGGGAAACAATTTTTCTTCCAATTTGGTGAGAAAAATGAGCGATACCTTTTTCCTTTCCTTTTCTTCCTAATTCCTCGAACCAAACATAACACTAAAGTCAAGGCATGAGTAACTTATGTTAAACTTTCGCTGCAATAATCTTTAAATGTTGGGGTAAAATTAAAAATATGGGGAAAAAGGAAAATGTGGGGAAAAATATTCAAAATTAAAAATTAGTATGGACGTGTAAGCCCGAGAACAAGAAACCTAGTAAAATCCTACAAGAGGTCTGGGGAGGGGAGGGGACGTGTAAGCCCAACTAGCGCACTTAATTGCTCAAGCAAATTATTTGGACAACTAGGCACTTGTCTTTGTGTGCTAGTGACGCATTGCACCTAGGCAGCAAAATAGCCTGGATTGTAAAACAGGATTTGTTTAACATCATTGCAATGAAAACTTACATTGAATGGGATGTAAGTCTGGTGACCATTGACAAGCCCACAAGTGAAGCCTGTATACCCAGCCATCGCTCCATGGACTGCACTTTGAGCCAGCAATGAGCAATACACATTGTCAGAGGCATTACTTGGAATGGCACGGATCATGTAGGTCGGATCTGCAACATAAAGTTGACTTAATTAGCTCTATTTAAGAGGAATGGGAAAGCAAAACATCCAACCTATAAATAGATGAACTGACAGAAGGTAACATCCAACCTATATATTTAAGAGTAATGGGAAAGTTCAGCTTTTTAGCATGATCCTGCAAGAAGCAAACACAGAGGACATAAATTAATACATTGCTACTCCATATAATCCAGTAATCCAGGTAACGGTTTTCTCCAAATTCGAAAACATTTCCACTATAAGGAAGACGCAATAAGACAGAAGTGTGTGTGTGTGTGTGAAGAAAAGGAGCAGTTGGTTCATAGTGCAGTGTGCACCCAAAACGGTGTTTCTTTGTTTGGGTGGAAAGTGTTTTCCAAGAAAAATAAATTCACTTGCCATGGAATATAAATCCCACCTCTTACCACTGGAATAGGATTCCTTGATTTTAAACAAATCCTACCTGTTTAGTTGTGCATAGATAATTTTTTTTAAGTGATGGTAGTACTTCCCATTGCAAACAAACACCTAGTGTATGCTTTGCCTATAACTATAAGATTATATGCCCGTGGGCACTATATAAAATTGCAAAGAGGAGATAATTCAAAGTGGTAAGAGGTAATGGGGCTTAAAATAATAGACATGAATACTGAAAATCATATTTATTTATATATGGCAACATCAAGTACCTTGATTTTTTGAGAAATCCATAAACCAACATCACGGAGAAGCCTGTTTCCTGAAGCATCTTGTCCAGTCTTGGAATTTGAAGTCTCCGCTGCAATGAGGTCCTGTCCTGCTCCTTCAGCTGCCACAAGAACCATGTGCCCATTTTCTTTTAGTCGTTTCACAACAAACTCAAGAAGTCCACCTTTTCCTTCGAGGTAGAATGGGGACTCTGGGATCAAACAGCAGTCAACATCTCTGCTGGCCAAAGTAGCATACATTGCAATGAATCCTGAACGAAAATTCAAAAATCATACCCCCGCTGCCGGAAAAAGGTTTTTATTTTTCTATTCCATTTTTCCCACAATAAGGTTCATGTTCTCTTTTTAAATGAAAAAAAAATGTTTGTGGTTTCATGAGCCGAGTGCCTTTCAGAAACAACCTCTCTTCCTGTAAAGGTGGGGATAAAGTCTGCATACACAAATAGCAAACCCAAATCCTAACATATACAGGAAGAGACTTTACTCTCATCTACATAAATATCAATCACACAGATTTAGTCTCTTAATCAGCGTGTTAAATCAAACCCGGATCCTCAAGTCATAACTAGTCTCTCTTTTGACAAGGCTCAAAACACTCCAAGTGCATCTTACCACTATAGCGACCCATTAGCTTTACAACACCAACACCGTTCTCAGCGCTTTCAGCTTCAACATGTGCCGCATTGATGGCACGCTGAGCCTCCTCTACAGCGGTATCAAAGCCAAATGATTTGTCAATAACCTAAGAAATACAAAACAATCATTTTTGCTCTTGTGGAGTTAGGGAAAATACAAGGAATAAGAATCATTTAAGATAACACCATAAAACACCTTAGCTATCATTCAATTGGTTTATAACATATGGCATAACTATCTCAATTAACAGTATCCAACTTGGACAAACATTAACTTCACAAAATCAGAAGTAATGTACATTCTGGTGATAAATATTCTCTTTTAAACCATCATTTTGAGCATCATGATATATTTCAGCAATTATAAACAGTTTCCATTTGATTTTTGGGGAAAGCTGGTCATGATGGGCATTAAGGAAGTTAATTTAAAAATGGTGAAAATAAAGAACAAAGTTGTGGCCTTGTGGGAGGTGACCAATTTATGAATGGAAAGGGAATATGGCCAGTTCTAGTGAAAATGAGAGAGTAATTTGATGTGTATGGAAGTGGCAAGTAATTTCCACTAAAACTAAGATTTCATCACTTCAATACTTATGTTTCAAGAAATTACCGAGTATTTATTTTTTTCATGCTAAGAACTAAGAATTAGCCCAATAAAATCAATGAAAAAGGTAAATGGCATTCATGTCATGTTCAATCATTATCAAATGGGACAAGATGTTCAGTCACACTGTCAAGTTGATTATGTCTTCCAAATAGGAAATAACATTTCACTTTTGTTTTTCTCCTCTTAAAGTGGAATGTGAACACAAGAAAAGATTAACAGAGAGAAATATGAGATAGCCTTATATTACGATCTGCACTCAAAAATGGTCTTCTATTTTTCAATATCCCTCAGATGAAAAAGGATAATTATTAGCCAACCAGCATAATAGCAAGTACATCAGAAGATATATGAAGGGATGGGGATCACCGAAATGTCGTTGTCAATTGTTTTAGGGATTCCAGCAACAGAAACTTGGAGACCACGCCGCCTTAGTTCCTGAAACACACAAAAAGGACTATAAATCAATTGAATTATAGCTAAGGTGTTTCATGGAGTTATCTTGGAACGAATATTATTCCTTGTATTTTCCCCAAGAGTTAGATATGATTGTTGAGAAATTTACCTAAATAGTACTAAAACATAGTGACTTTCCTAATGTAGTACGATATGTTTTTATTTCCCAATGTAGTACCACTATTCAATGTCCACTGGTCATTGTTCAAACTAAATGTCCACCATCACTGGACATTGTTCCAGCCACTAGACATTATTCAAGTACTATTTGGGGAATAAAAAAGTTTAAGTACTACATTGGGAAAGGACATATGTTTTAGTACTATTTAGTGCAAATTTCACATGATTGTTTTGTATGTCTTATGTTATTGACAAATCATTTGGCTGTGGTACCGCTGTAGAGAAGAACCACCGTGCCATAAATGCGGCTCATTTGAATCTGAAAGTGTTGAGAACGTTGTTGGTGTAGGCTGTGTAGCAAATCCAATGTGTCCTAAAGTGGTACGATGCACTTGGAGTCTTTTGGACCTTATCACGAGAGAGACTAGCTTTATTGTAGACTGTTAATCACTTATAAACTTGTAATCTCAATTTTCTGTGAAAACCCTCTCTCTGTCTGTCCCACAAAATTTAAATGTCTGAATATTACTCCACCTCCCTATTTTATAGGTCCCAATTTTTGTGAGTAGGTTGGGTTTCAGAGTGTCTCTTTCTTTTGTTCTGGTTGTATTGGATTCTCGGAGACTGCTCAGTTTTGTGGGGTATATTCTTTGTATTCTTATTATATTGGGTAGATAGATTATCTTCTTGGAGTTCTTGCCTTGTTCTCTTACTTTGTTTTGCCTTATAATTGAGGAACTGTTATATGCATAGAGGCAAGAAGCCAAGGACTGGGTACACTCACCTCAGATTCCACTGTGGATCTTCACTGGGGAGGTTGTTATTATTGTATCTTTGTCACCTTTATTCCAACTACGTTAGGATGGATGGCATAAATTTTGTGTCTGTACTCAATAAAATGATTTGTTTGTAAAGAATTATTGAAAACCTTTAATTCATGCCCTGGCAAAATTTTAAGCCGGGTGACCTTCATGCCACAACCTTCTAAAGAAGAAATATTGAATAAAAAATCCAAAATCGTCATTGTCACAAGTTTTCCAATAGCATGGAAAAGATCATGACACAGCTAGGTGTTGAGATCGATCTTGTAGTCATGTTCCGTTAGAAAATTGATTTTGAAAACAACATGCACATCATGGAACATGAATACTACTCCGTATCTTATAACTAGTGTCAGTGTGTCACATGAAGGAACATAGAACAACAACAACCCAGTTGAATCCCACTAAGTATGTAAGAAGGCAAAAATGAAAAATGAAAACCTTGTAGATCAGCGCTGCTCCTTTTTGAGTTCCATCCCCTCCAATTATATAGACCTAAAACAATAATTACTCCTATTAGAGCTAGCTGTAATTAAATCCTGGTGTGTCCTCAACAAGGCAACAACACCAAAAGGAACTCTGATTACTAGCAAAAGTTATTCTACAGTCTACACAAAATCTCATGATTGAAATACCTGATTAATTCCACGATCCTGAATACTATCTGCAATTTTGGCAGTATCATGGCCTCCTCGAGATGTTCCAAGGATTGTACCACCCCTTTTATGTATGTCATTTACAAGCTTTGGAGTTAAATTTTTTGTATTCCTTGCATAGAAACCCATATACCCAGCCTGAGAAGAAGAAGAAGAAGAAGAAGAAATAAAAACATTATTAGACAACAATGTCAAAGGAATGTACCATGCAACCATTTCATGATAGACATTTATGTATTCCATTTACAAGCTCTGGGGATAAATTAGTTGTACTCCCAGCATAGAAACCCCTATAGCCACCCTATGAAGAAGAATTTGAAAAAAAAAAGATCAGACAACAAAAGAAAAGGGTTGTGCATGCTACTGTTTTCACACGGCCAAATTGCTCTAGAAAGCAAGCAACTAATCATTTACTACACCTACACTCCTACAGGGCATTCACCTTGAAAACTAGAATACAAAAGGGGTCACTTTTAAGTTTTAAGGACACATTGTAATGATATCATACTTTTAACAATACTAATGTGGTATAATTGTATAAAATAAATCAATAAATAAATATTTAAATGCACAACTATCCGTCGATTGCTAATAGAGCTAAAGCAGTGACCATTGATAATGTTGATTCGGGCACATAATGGACTAAATAAAAAAGGCACATTAAACATCCTTTTACTTCTTACTCACTATGAAGTTTTGGGATATAAATGCAGCAATGCATCTGTGGTCTAACGTAAATATCCTCTGTTTTTTACAGGGGGGAAACTACGTACATCTTGACCATCGAGGCCCCAACGGAGTTGGAATTATATTGTGTTGTTGTTTATTTAAATGCACAAAATCTCAACAGTTTTTCATTTGTATATTCTGTCAATTCACTAATTCGCAAGAAAGTGGAGAAGACAAACTCGCAGGGAGGAAAAAAAACTTGGGGTGCCATAATTTTGAAATAATGCATTTTAAGTATATAATGAATTTGCAAGAAGCTTACCTCTATTCCAAGGACTTTGGTGACACCATATGTGTGAAGGCTATGAACAATTTCCCTGATCACAGTATTCAGCCCTGGGCATAACCCGCCACATGTTACAATACAAGCGTGCACCTCATTTGGACTAAAATACACCTAAACAATATTGTAGATTGTCACATCAAAGCTATTGTATTATTACTAATGAAAGGTTTATTAGTTGTATTTAATCCCTCATAACTGAGTACCAAGCATACCTTTTGACGAGGACCAGCACGCCTAAAATGTACACCCCTTGGACTATCAATGTGAACAACAACCTGTAAAGAAATACACATTGAAGACTAAATTCTTTCATAACAAAAGACGGTGCTTTTGCAAATAGGAGACTACCATGATCTGAGTTTGTTTCAGAATAAATCCTAACATAACACTACAAGTTGAAAATATATAATTATATGGGAATAAGGGTGGCTTTGCATAGACAACTTGCTTTCACTAACAGACAGAATGGATCTTGGCATAATTGGTAAGCCTTTCCCTGGTATTCCTTTGGCCTAATTCTCCCCCATATGATGTACCAAAGAATAAACAAACAGAGCCAGTTGAAAAACATAGATTACCTTTTGAGGAACAACATCTTCCATGTCAACAAAGTATTGTCTGAAATCACAACGAACGTGTTAGACTTCATAACTACAAATGATAACTCGTTAAAACCATTGTAAACCTTTAAAATAACAATTAAAACCCAAAACATAAGACTCTTGAACTGGATATCAAATATCAATGGGTGAGAATGTTTACAACAAACCATTACTCTATGTTCAATGACGTTATTGTGTGAGCTTTTAGCCACTAGCTATCGACACAGAACATTATGAAAGATAAGATACGAAGTACAACTTACTTCACAACTGAATATGCAGGATCAGAACGTAATGGATTAGAAAAAGTCTGCATACAAAGCAAGTAAAAAGTTAATGCAAAATCTAAACCAGTGTAAATTAACAATGTTGATATAATAAAAAAAGTATTTCATTCAAATAATAGAAAAAGTACAACTGACATGCAACTCCATGCAACTGTAACAATTTTCAATTTGCACAATCCCATTAGAAGCTGACTTTCACAAGTTTTTGTCTTTACCTTCCTAGTGACATTGACTCATGACATGCCATTTCATAACATAATTAGGTTTTCCCTCATTGCAGGGAGTATATGTTATGATATTGGTCCGTTGAGCACCGCCAAAGAAAAGGTTCAACACTTAGACGATGCTAACTATCTAAATTGTTACCGGGAATGACTAAATGGAAGACTGACATATGATGATACTTGGCTATGGTATTCCAAAGCTGACATTAGTAGTTTTTGTTGGCAAAAGTAGTTGTCTAGGATGCCAAGTAGAAAAACGTGCTATTTCACACTGAGAAAGATATCAATAATGATGTTCCTAGATGGAGTTGAACTAGGGCATTAAGGTGGAATGAGTAATTGAGTACACCTTTGCGAAAGACATAACTTATGGTTCTATTTGGCTAGTGCAGAAGGCCTGGAGCCCGTGGCCCCTCCAATCGATGTCTATTTGCAGTAAATGTTGTTTGTTAATTGAAAACATCGTTTTTATACGCCGTATGTAGTGTATTATTTTTACAATTTTAACTTTTTTATGCTCGCTAAGTGTTTGTGAAAAAATGTCTAGAAGTAATACCTTACCGAGTTGTTATTTACACCAGAGTAATCTTTTCTCTCGAGTATATATCATTTTTATTATACTACTAATCTACTACGAAGTAAAAAAGTACCATCTTAATAGAAATTATGTGTCCATCAGCTACAAAAAATGACCCACTCCCCAGTCCCCCAAACATCCGGGGTCCCACACTGCCGGGACCCACCCCCCCACCACCGGGTCACATTTCGGCAACTGGGTGGGGATGGTACTAATCAATGATATTGCCTCATATTGCATTTGGTCCCTTTCATCCAATGATTCAACATCCCCCAAACATCCTTGGAGTGCAACAAACTAACCTGCATGTTGCCTCCCCTTAAATGTAATCAATCAATCAATTTCATATGATAATCTAATCAATAAACGCAGCACGAGAGAAAAAAACTATATGCACATTCATGATACAGCATTCAATCAATCTAACACACACATAGATGATATATACACACACACATATATATATATGTATATATATACATATATGTAGAGAGAGAGAGAGGGAGAGATGATATACAGGGATGTTGGGGAGGTAATCACTCAAGTGAGGAACATCTTCAAGAACATAGCCGTTCGGCCCCTTCACCACCTTCATCTCTTCTTGAGGATTGCTTTCCCCGGCCATTTTCAATTCAATTCAATTCAATTCCAGGTCAAATCAAATTCTTACGCAAACATTGCGCTTTGTAAATTTAGGTTTCGAGATTCGAAAAATCCAGATGATGAATGAGAGAGAGATAGAGACGGGGACAATGCGATTCCGAGAAGACCGACCCCTTCATCAAGTCAGTAGCAAGATGAGTTGAAATCTGCCGTTCGTGGAAGGGAAACAGTTTGATCGTTCGGCGGGTTTCTCGCCATGGCTTTCGACTTTTATTGGGACTGGGATAGTGGGAGTTTAAATGCAACGCCCGGAGCTGGCAGAACTTTATTTTTAATTTGATTGGAGTTTTAAAATTAAAAAATAAGACTTATATGTTTAAAATCCGTTTCGCAAAAAAAATCTTATTTTGATTTTTAAAAGATTTAAGGGGGTGTATTTTGGTCTTGACTTTTCAAAAATGTCCTTTGATGTGATGGATAAAGTAGGATGTGATGGATAGATTAATAGAGAAAAAGTATGATGTGATAGGTAGGTTAAGAACCAATAGGAATAATAATGACTTTTTAATAGAAAAAGAGAAGAGTTTTTCATTTCCGAGTAATGAATAGGTAGAGAGTATTTTAAAAAATTAAAAATTATAGAGTATTGAGTATTTATATCATGCATCTGAATGTACAATGTTTTTCGTAAATCCATTTGAATATTTATTTTCGAGTTATTGAATGGTTAAGGTATTCATTTTGGTGTGACACAACATTGATTTTCGAGCATAAATGAGTTTTAGAAAGATAGGTGTTCAGTTACTTAAAAATAAGTATTTATTTGTTTCAAAATGAGTATCTAATTGTTCAAAAATGAGTATTCGATTGCTTATAAATGAGTACTCATTGAAGGTCTACAGAATATTCTTTCCATGAAATCATGCATTATTGGTGTGGTCAAATTTTATTCATTTTATTTATTTATTTATTTTTCACTCAAAATTCAGAATATAAAAAGTCACGTCATGATCATCTCTAATGTTGTACAGTTTCAAATATAATTTTTTTATATAATTCTTTTTTGAATTTTTACGCTTCTATTTCGTGATTAAATAAATATAATTGAAAAAAATAGTCAAACATGATATATTGGAAAAAGAAGATGAATTCGAGTTAGACGAAGTATATAAATAAAAAATATAAAAAAATGTGTAAAAAGGTTTGTGTAGAGCTTATATCCATGAGAGAACTTCTCATTTGTTTGTGCCTCCTTGATTTTAAATAAAAGTACTTATTTATTCGTTTTAAATTTCACCTTTTATATATAATATCACATTTGAGTGTATATGAGCTCGTGCAAAACACGAGGTAAAACAAATCCTTGCATGAGATACACAAAAGGATTTCTCTAATCAAGACCTCTCCCCTAATAAAGATACTCTATAGTATTTACTGTTGTAGTATAAAATATTGACTACAAAATTCTTTAATATTTTGTCTAAACGATATTCATAATTTATGCACTGGCTCATTATATATCATTAAGTTGAGAATAATATGAACGGATACTACACTATAGTCAAGTTAATTATGTGATTAAAACATAAATGCATTTTAGTTTTTCAAGTTTAAACGGCATGGTCTAGTTATAGGGTAGTTTAGGTTTTTTCCTACTAGTTGTCAACATGTACTTATTAAGTACATTGTCAGTGTTTTAAATGTCACATTTTTAATTAGCGGAGTTTGCTGTGACATAGTAGCAGTGCAAACATGTTAAATTTCTAGGAGTAATAGTGTCAGTCGTTGAATTTCAAAATATAAACATAAAATTATGTATTTATGAGAGCATTCATTGATTTTTTCTTAGAATAAACAAACTTCATATTTCTTTTCAAGATGGTTGGTCCACATTATTGTTTATTCAATTTATTTAAACATTGTTATAAAGATTAAAAATAATGTATTCTCCCTTTATCTAGTATGTCTTTCATTATTTTGACTTTGAAGCTTTTTAATGAGAATTTATTTCACTCTCCGTTTTGTCTCTTGTAAATTGTCTTGTTACAGCAAAATAGACGTATATACAATATTTTGAGTTTGTTACAATGTAGAGTATATGTTTATATAATCATTACACTTTTAGATAGTATGAGCTAGGTGTAATGTGCACTCTATTTACATTTACTATATGATTCGATATTCTAGATAGAAAATATGAGGCGTGTACTTTTCTCGTGTCTACAACACTTTTGGATATCTTAACAGAACTGATAAAGGTAGTTGAAGAGCCTTGATGGCGACATGTAGGGGAGAAGGTTTGAATTCAGGAGGCAGCTCTTTTGATTCGACACCTTATAGGTGAGATTAGCTTATAAAAAATTCTTGTTATTTTTGCCTAGTTGAGACACATCTTACATTTTCTTCCTCTACCAATCTCAGGTGGTGTAGACGTTTAAGGGCGTGTTTGGTGAGTAAAAGAGACATGAATTTTGATATCACATATGTCGGAACCTTTTTTAGTGTGACTGTTTGGTGAAACCAAAAGAGATATCGAGTTTGATGTCTCTGGACATCACAAATCTTTCAAATGTAGGACTTCGTTATCTCCCAAATCTCGGAATATCAATATGTAAATTTATATCTCTCTCAACCGTTGACCATCTTCTGACACCCGCTACATTGTCACCGCCAATCACCCTGTTACCGGTCACCCTCTTATCACTAATTAAATACTTCATAATAATTTTAAATCTTTCCAAACAACTTCATTTCAGATTTCAAAACTTATATTATTTCTCCTAAAATTAAAACTAATATGTTATCATATCTCCAAAACTCATTAAACAACAAGTATCAACAAAAATCAAGAAGATATTGAAACCATTCTTTTGGACAAGTTGAAAGGTTTATACTCCCCCATCTGGAAATGTTCTTCATATCAAAAAGATTGGACTTTGACCACTAATATATTTATTTATACATAAATAATTTTTTATAAACATTTGATATTTGAAAAATTATGTGTCAATACGAATATATTGAAACTAAAGTTATACTCCATATCATAATACAATATGTTTTTTTCCCACATAAGGAAATCAAAATTTACAAACTTTGACCAAGAAAAAATCAAATAAAAAAACATTTTGAGACAAAAAGAATAATATATCAAGATATGAAATTTAAATTTTCTTTTATGCATCATCAAACACCAAAAAGAAAAAGAATTGTACCGGAGTAGAATGTAGAAATACAAGTATATAACAAATGTAGTCCGTGTGAGGTAAGGAGTACTGTGATGAATGAGTTCAACGCCTGGCTGGAAACCTTCGAAGTTCCAAAATGTCTCTCTCAAAAGCATAATAATATATCTACACCCCTTTGACTGATTCCCACCCCAATCCAATTTGCAAAACCCCAAAAACCGATTATCATTGACCTCTCTTTCTCCAGATCTCTTCCATTATTCTCTCTACAACAATTTGTCTTCTCCGTCCGTATGCATATGCATCTGTACATATACTCATAGATTAGGGTTTCGTCGAATTGCTTTCCCCTGAATGCTCGCTCTGGAAGAACAATCCCAAAACTAGGGTTGAATCGAAGTTGTTAGATTTCCTGGTTCGGCGATCAATTGGGGTCGCGATCTCTAAAATATACATCTCCTGGCTGCTCTAGATTTCCGAATCCGCAACAGTTCGCGGCGTTTTTCTTCTTTGTTGGGCGAGAGAGCAAACGATTCCATGACGGTGGCTTCAGAGAGCTCAGCTGAGACTTTTCCGGCCTCTGCTGATGTGCCGCTCCGGAAGAAATACGGTGTTACGAGGCCTTTGTCTCTGACCGGGCCATCCGAGGCAGATCTCCAGAGAAACGAAGAACTTGAAAAGGTGGTGTTGTTCGTGCTCCTACTTTTCGAAATTGTTTTCTTTTTGGGAAGATGGAGTTATTGGAATGGAGATTCCAGTAGTTTTTCCCCCCTATCGAACTTGGGTCTTGAATGTGAACTAACGATATGTTGAATTTGGATTTGAAGTTTTTGAGGGATTCAGGGTTGTATGAGAGTGATGAAGAAACTAGAAAGAGAGAGCAGGTGCTTTGCCAGCTTGATCAGGTGAATTTTTAAGCTCTACTGCTAGTGGTAGTTATTAAACTTTGCTTCATTGCAATTAATGTATATGCGAACAGCTTCATTAAGATGAAGATACAATTGTGTTTTAAAAAACTCCTCTGCCCAAATAATATGTATGATGAAGCAAACCTAGTGATGGAGAGAGTCTAACCAAGCCATCTCCTCCAGTAGAGTAATGAAACAAAGAAAACGGGGCACGCCGTAAGCCCATAGAGAAATTAAAGTTGTAATTCTTAAAAAGCTTGTGTAACCCAAATGCATCTTTCTTTATGGGATGGAATGAGCACATTTTGATTTGGGAAGTTTCTATGTCCTCCAGTTTGTAACCCGCCACTGTCCCCACCCATATCTATGTTGCAGATATTGATTCTTAACATGGGGAATATACCATGTTTAGGAAATAGATGTGAAACTGCATATACCCTGTTTTATATTCTCTTGCTTGATGACTTAGAGTTTACATTTGTCAATGATACTGTGACCTTATTTTTTGCTATTTACCTTTTTTCAATTGAATTATGTATTTCAGATTGTAAAGCTCTGGGTAAAACAATTGACCCGCCAGCGAGGTTACTCAGATCAAATGGTGGAAGATGCAAATGCTATTATATTAACCTTTGGCTCCTATCAGTTAGGTGTAAGTAAAGTTCTCAATTATTTAATGTGCGTTAGAATTTACGAAATAAGGCTTACTGTCTCACGTTTTTACACTCCTCCAACTCATTAAAAAACTTTGATGTTTGAATTTCACAAAGTTTAAGAAAAGTATTAAAAAGTGAAAACTTTATGGTTAGAAGTTGTTTAGAGGAGAAAAAAAAGTTGTGAGCCACTAATTCCTTTCATTAAAAGTGAATGACGTTTTTTGGACATATGAGAAGGGAAAGAGTGAATTTTATTCAGGGCAAAGGGAGTGTTTTTTTCCAAGGAAATATTGCTTCTTATTTGCAAATTATCTCTTTTTTATTCAATTCATAGTTATCATCTATGAGCTGAGTTCTAGATACTAGATACTCAAAGTTGTTAATTCTAGCTGTTTCTTCTCTCTTAGCTAAGCCAGTTTCATGTGGTCAAATGCAAGTTTGCATGCTGTTAAACCATAAACTGCAAAGAGGATAATATGTGCTAAAAGCACCCTACTAAATGATTAGATTGCCGAGTTTTAGTCTCGTGAGAGAATTTTTGCATCGTAACTTTATTTAGCCTGTTGAAACATCTATTGCAAAGTTCTTAATAGCAGACTGTATCTAAGAGTAATTTCTCCCCGATCTTATGAATGCTCAAGTGAGAAATGCTCAACAATGAAGAGAAAATAGCTTGGAAGGAAAATTTAATGGGAAACATGTAATATGCTGTTTGCGTTTTCTATGTTCAATTTTGTGATTAATATTTGAAATAGAAGGTGCAATCTCAAATGAAACACTCTAAAGTCTGAGCATCTTTAGCCTAGCTAATAGAAGAAGGTTTAGAGACAGTGATGTAATCATGAACAGTGACTCTTTCTGCGTCCACATGCTCTTTGTGATTAGGGTGTAATTAATGTGATTAGTAAAAAAAACCAGAAATTAAGGTGGATCTCATTGCATAAACACATAACTTAGGGCCTGTTTGGTATCAACCAGATTCAGTTTTAGTGTTATGATTAAAAAAGATAAAGTAAACCAAAAATTAGTCATACATATTCTATCCATGTTAAATTTGAAAACTACTCACAAAAAACTGAATATCACTTCTGACTTTCAAAATCCTGTCTTTATTTTAAAAAAATAAGACATAAATGAGCTCTAAACCAGATGATTTGAAGCTGCATATAGTGGTGTGAAGCTAACTTATGATGGCTTGTGAACAATGACATCAGGAAGACAGGAATTAGGACAAGACCCCTTGAGAATGCAATGCTTGTGGTGACATTGTGAAAATAAAAGACCACAAATTAAATAACTGTTAAACTTACAATATGGCTCTTTTTGTGTGTTTCTCAAATTTTAATTAGTTTTTTACTGCCCTCAAATATAATTGACAGTTCTTTTGTTAGTCCCTTCTACATTAGACAAAACATTTATTTGGGGGGAATTTTTCTGTGAGACTTTAATGCTGTATTTGGATGGAGGCGAACCTAGCTTGGTCTTAGAAGAACATCTGAAAGCCAACTTTGGAGAACCTCTGGATTCTGCGTTCTAGAGGTTGAATTATCATTTGAAGTAAAAGTGTCCTTCAATGAGCTGTAGATTCTCAATGCAAACAACTTTTTTTACTCCATCTAGGTTAACGGTTAACCTAGTCATTATGCAATGTGTGCATGCACCCATAGTTTTGAAAAGCGTGCATGAGGCCCAAGGGTTTGTGCATTAGGATCTGTGATGCAGGCGACGCACTGGAGGCATGCACATAGCTTCACATCATCGCATTATGGGATGTGATCTGAGGTGCTACAAGGCGTGCATCCAAACCAGTTTTTTTAGTATTTGTTTTATTAAAGCTGACGCTGTTCAGCAGTTGACTTTCGCCTCTCTCTGCTTTGAGCCCTTCAATCTAAGAATAGGCTGTTTCTTTGACTTCACTGCTTCGACTACCTCTTCTCTTTTCTTTGACTTTCACCTGACTCTGCTGCTTGGGTGTTTTCTGCATGTTAGTCATATAGGTCGCAGCCTTGCAGGGTTCTTTGGAGTGTAATCGCAAGCTTTTACAATTTTTTGTTTTTTCTTGGAGTTAATTCTTTTTCTTGTAGGTTTTTATCTATCTTTTTTTCAAAACAATTTCCTCTTGTAGGTAACTTACTGGCAGAAAGTCAGCACTCAAAAGTTTTTCATATAATTACTAAATTATATGCATTATAAGTATTGTTACTATTGTAGAGGTGATATGCTACTTGTGCCTCAATTTGAACCTCATGTTCGTGATGCATGCACATGAATGGTGCATTGAGGGACGGGGGGGGGGCCATTTGTGCATCGGTGTGCATAGCCTACTGAAATGTTTGTTTCCAATTTGTTAACCTAAAACTGTAGTTCATTCCCCTTATCAATTTCAATTGTCCTTACACTAAGAACTTGAAATTTTACCTTAGCACATAATGTGTCCACAAGTGATGTTTCTTGTAGGTTCATGGGCCTGGAGCTGACATCGACACATTATGCATTGGGCCATCTTATATTAATCGAGATGTGAGTTTCAAGTAGTGGATAAAATGTCCTTACTTCAGTATCATTAATCCTATTATCCTTAACTGTATAAGGAGTTAACTCTAGATGCTCTTTTGGCTATTCTGCAGGAAGATTTTTTCATTGTTCTGCGTGATATTTTAGTTGAAATGGAAGAAGTTAGTGAACTGCAACCTGTTCCTGAGGCTCATGTTCCTGTTATGAAATTCAAATTTCAAGGAACATCAATTGACCTCCTTTATGCAAGCATTTCTCAGATCGTCGTCCCACAAGTATGCTTTAATGAATGTGTTTCTATTAGCATTGTCCTATTTCAGGTTTCAATTTTTTATAGACACAAGATCGTAAAGATAATTTTTGTCTGTGGTGGTGGTGGTTTTGGGGGGTGGGTGGGGTTGGGGCATGTGCCAGTAAAGATAGATTTTGATACTCAACATTTTTGGTGCATTTAAAACATCCAAAGTACTCTCCATGTTCTTAAATATTTCTTCCTAATTTGATTTGGGATGCTTTTTAAGAAAGTAGGGTGTCTGTGGTTTGTGGTTTATTTAAAGATGATAAAGAGAATATCAACGACACATATCTTTCTCTAGAAGGAAATGAAAAAAAAATTCTGGACATCCCAAAAAAGAAAGTGAGAAGAAAATTTTAGAACGGAGTGAGTAAAAGATAAATTGTATGTTGATTATCTTAATGGAAATGATATTCAATGGGGATGTGTTGGTTTCAAACCAACAATGAAGCAGCCTTTATATAGTATTAAGTGTGTTACATGCAGTGACAAAGGCTATGATTATTGTTTTTGAAGTGTCGAATACATCTTCACATTAAATGTTTTAACCGAATTTACCACTGCTTATCTCAACCTTGCAACAAGGGTGAATTTTGATTTTTTCTCTCTCCCACTGTTGTAGATGTCATCTTTTCAACCACATTAGAGCATTTTCAGTTGAACTGTAGACTCTACTTAAAAATGAAAAATAGAATGAAAAAACTCATATGGTTAGTTGAAAATATGTAAACTTTGTTATGTTATTTTTTCAACAGGATTGTATGCATAAGGGTACTGAATGTGAATTGAAGTTAATACTTTATGCCCTTATATATTTTCAATATGCTGGCAGGATTTTGACATTTCTGATCGCTCTGTGTTGTACAACATTGATGAACCAACTGTTCGGAGCCTCAATGGGTGCAGGGTTGCTGATCAAATACTGAAACTAGTTCCGAATGCCGAGGTAGCATAGGTTTTTAAACCCTCATGATTCATCCGAGTATTATTGATTTCAATGTTATTCATTCTTTACTGTTTTTAGCACTTCCGGACAACACTTAGATGTTTGAAATTTTGGGCCAAAAGACGCGGTGTCTATTCAAATGTAAGTTGAAATCCCCACCCCTAATAAAACTTCTTACTTTGATGGTGATTTATACCTTGTTTTAATATAACAAATGCATTTTCCATGAAAAACGCCCTACTTGATTTTAGTATGGTTATCTACATTTATGCCTTGTTTGCTCTCTCTCTCTCTCTCTTGAATAGGTCACTGGATTTCTTGGTGGTGTAAATTGGGCACTTTTGGTTGCTCGGGTTTGCCAGTTCTATCCCAATGCAATACCCAGTATGCTGGTTTCACGGTTTTTTAGAGTCTATACACAATGGCGCTGGCCTAATCCTGTAATGCTTTGTCCTATTGAGGAGGATGAACTTGGGTTTCTTGTTTGGGATCCTCGCAAGAATCCCAAGGATAGAAATCATCATATGCCAATAATCACTCCTGCATACCCTTGCATGAATTCTAGTTACAACGTTTCACCAAGTACTCTACGTGTTATGATGGACCAGTTTCAATTTGGGAACAAAATTTGCGAGGTAAGCTATAAAAAAAATTTGCTTTTGTGCCCTTCCTATCCTTTGGCTGTGGTGATTATGTTTTCTTGTTTGTTTAACATCCAGGAGATTGAGTTGAACAAGGCACAATGGGGTTTTCTTTTTGAGCCATACTTTTTCTTTGAGGTGTACAAAAACTATCTTCAGGTTGACATTATTGCAGCAGACAATTATGATTTGCTGGCTTGGAAAGGATGGGTTGAATCACGGCTCAGACAACTAACACTTAAGGTGAAAAGTTGTTCTAATTATTATTACCATGGTGATGGTTTTGAATTATTTCAGTTTTGATGTTTTTGTTGCAGATAGAGCGTGACACAAATGGGATGTTGCAATGCCATCCTTACCCAAGCGAGTTTGTGGACACGTCTAAGCCATGCCCACATTGTTCATTTTTCATGGGCTTGCAGCGGAGACAAGGAGTACAAGTGCTAGAAGGACAACAGTTTGATATTCGTGGAACTGTTGAAGAGTTTAAACAAGACATAAGCATGTATTCTTATTGGAGACCAGGGATGGATATTTTTGTCTCTCACGTACGTAGAAAGCAAATCCCTGGTTACGTCTTTCCTGAAGGGTATAAGAGACAGAGGCTGTCTCGGACCACACATCAGTGTACTAATACTCCTCCTGAGAAAAATATCAGAGGTAGCTTGTCTCCTGAAGACAAGCATTCCAAGAGGAAGCATGAGAACGAAACAGTTTATGTGAAGTCCAACAAGCTTGGAAAGCAAAGGTCTGATAGTCCACTGCAGATAGGATCTGATTCTCCTGCTTCTGGTGGGTTATCTCCATCGCTGGGCATTTGCAAGGAATCTCAACTAGAGCATATGAGTATCGTTGATGTTACGGGAAATTGCATGCCTGTCAGTTTAAATGGACAATGTGAGCAGGCTGGTACGTGGGAATGTGCTGAAAGTGTGTTATCAAGTTCCGAAATCTGCCTCACCAGCGAGGTTAGTAATTAGTATTTTAGGTAGGCGCTAGGTGAGAAGGTATATGGTACAACCGGATGTACGGTACTCATTTTGAAGTAGAATAGTTCTCATTCTGGCACAAATATAATTATTGTGGTACTCATTCTAAAATAATTCTAAAATAATGCAGTACTCATTTTCACACATTGATTCAATATAACTATAATATTCATCTACAAATAATGTGTGTTCATTTTGAAACAAAACAGTACTCATTCTCAAATAACTTAGTGTTCATTCTCATGTAAAATAAAATCCATACCATAAATAATTTCTTGGTTGTACCCAAAATTGGGTACAACCGGATGTATACTATAATTTGCCGCGCTAGGCTGCATCAAATGACCGTGATTGGGACCATTTAGTAAATGGGATCCAATTAATCAGTTCTACATATCTCTCCTGATCATGCCATCATATTAGATGCCTCTAAGATCAAGGGATGGTCCAGATGCATTTGCTTAGGGTAAATTTGCCACTGAAATAACTTCATGCTACATTATGGCCTCTAATGATAATAACTGTTTGTGTAGAGAAAAAATGGGCCTTAGAGCCTGTTCATTTCAACTTATTCTAATTACTTATTACTTTGTTTTATTGGGAATCAGATTGTAATAAACTCATTTCTTTTTAAGGAAAGAGTTGTTTGGTTCATATTATTTCTCTGGCATGGGTGTGTATAAATTGCAATCACACAATTTCACCCTTAAACTTTCTGCTGAAAAGAAAATGAATTTTTTTATATCAGCACTGGTAATGAAGGATCCTTGCAGGGTGGTGTAAGCTTGGTGGAGCAAATTTCACGGGTAGGGGATGGGTGTCTAGATGAAAGCAGTGTACTGAGGACAGGGGGGAGTGCCTTGCCGGACAAACCAAATTCACAGGTGAAGTATTGAAGTGTTTCTTCCATTTCAATGATACACTTTCATTGTAATATCACTAACTGGAACTCTCTTGTCATTATGCACTTTCCATTTCAGTTTTCGTTCACATCATCTTTTTGTTAGGATCATTCTGACTACTGAAGAGCTGGAATGTTGTTGATATTATTCAAGATATTCATGAAGTTGGGTTCTTAAATTCGTAAGCTTGTTAAGCCTCATGAATGTCTTGCAACATACAAGAGCAGGGTGCATTGTGGTTAATTCTACCGATTTAAAGTATCTTATTTTATGGAAGATGAAAATTTTAATCTTTTTTGGATGGTTGCTAGTTTAAGGTGGTTACTAAGCCAGTTCCAAACAACAACAACCACAACAACAACAACAACAACAACAACAACAACAACAACCCAGTTAAGCCAGTTCCAAACCAAACCAAATAATCCCAGTAAATCCCACTCAAGAGTGGGGTGTGGGAGGAAGATGCATGCATACCTTACATCTACCCCAAGGAGTAGAGAAGCTGTTTCTGAAATGACTCGAGAAAAGCCACTTCGTTGATGTGAAAATCTTGCTAATGGTCAAAATGTCACGGCTTGATCTTTTTATGATCCTTAACCTTGATTAGTTTATTCATAAAGACGCTAATCACTTCATGCATGGCTATAATAAGCTGATCTTGAACTCCGGTTTTGTCTGAGATAAGGAACACTCTAACAGTCCTGCCCCGGCGTGTTTTTTTCTTTTTACTCACTACTGAACTTATGGCCCTTTTGTTTTTTTCTGCTGTGTGTAGCCAAACATTGCACTTACAAGGGTAATTGAGTCATCAAGAGACGGCGCAAGTCCAGAACCCACACATGAGCCAGCTATAGGGCAAGTCCTTTCTCCACGAACCCGCTTTTCCCGATATGTAATATGCTATTGTTATTTTTATACTTTCTCGCTTGTTTCTTTCTGCGTTTCCCTTTGTAGCAGGTGAGTCTGGAATCAACTGCGTGAGGGTGGTACACATATTATCTCGTAAACAAAGCTCGCGAGGGCATCTAACGGAAAAAGTCTCATTAATCCTTTTTTCTGCAAGTTCTGTTTGGAGGAAGAAACAAGGGAACAAAAAAGCTCTGCAAGAATGGGAAAACTTGTGCATTTGTGACAGGGGAAGGAGACAACTGGCTGGTGGATTTTGATTTGTGGTTCTACATGTTGACCTAGTATGGGATGACTTTAATTTATCACCTTTTTTGTTTTCTTTCAAGGAAAGAGCAAAAACAAAAATGAACCAATGGTACAACTGTGTGGGGAGTTGACTTTTTTTTTATATTTCATTTTTTTTTACTTTGGGGTTGGGATGGGGGTTTAACCTGTGTAGTAACTAGTAGTGTTTCTTGAAATTGTTCACTGATAATATGCTTACTCATTTTCATTCTATGTATTTTTCTTCTATTGTAATGTGATCCTCACATATAGTCATAGTAACTCCTTACCCTTGTGACCCTACAACTATTACCAAAACTAGTTTGGAAAAATTCCCAAGTACAATCCACTCATAATTTTGGTTGAATTTCTTAGCCAGCCTTGCCCGTTCCATCCCGGCCATCGAAACAGAGTAGAATCTTTACAATTCTTCCTTGATGGTCAATACTCAATAGCTAGACTTAGGCAAAAATTGACCTAATTTTATTTAAACCCGAGATCCGATCAAAATATATTGGTTAAACAAACGTTTGTTGACCGAATTTGAAATGACTTTCTAAAAATGTGACAAACTTGATTGAACTCGAACTTGAGGGTCTTTTAGATTGAATTACACGGTTACGGAGAAGAAATAAATTAGTCCTAATACTAAAATTTCAATTTACACCCTTTCACAAAGAAAGAAAAGAAACCACGAGGATTATATGAACTCTAATAAGTAGGTTGCTACAATACAATGAATAATTGATAGAATATAACAATATAAACTCTCGAATGCTCAAGAAACGAGGATAGAACTAAAGCGTAGAAGGATTATGATCTAGAATGATTATACATGATTAGATAGATGAAGTGTTTATGATAAAGAATGCTCTCAAGAGACTCCGGAATAATGTGTGGGATGAGTTATTGAGGTTGGGAGGCAGGCTTCAAAATGGCTAAAAAATTAACTTCTTTAGATGTAGACCACTGGACAGCGAACGGACTACGTACGCTATCCCGTTTCATGGAGGTATTTTCTATTTTTCACTTAATTTATATAAACATTTATTATTTTTTGGCAGATCAATTAGCCGATCTCCTAATAAAAGTGCTTCCTTCTCTCGCTACAGAGATCTGGTTTTCAAGCTTTCTCTCTTTTTCAAGGCGTTCAGCTTGAGGGGCGTGTTAGACAATAATAGCAATTGTATTATTTATGGTAGTATTAATTATGGTAGACTTTGTATATTAGTCATCTTTTGTAATAGGTTGAGTCCTAATTATGTCACGATCTCTCCCTATATATACACTCATGTATAATCTTGATTTTCTTGAGTAAAATCCCTAATTCAATGTTCAATACAATAGATCAAATTTAATCCACTTTTTTTTGCCTATTTTCTTAACTTATTTGATAATAAAAAAAATAGTCATGCCACCTCTAGTTTCGTAGATCTTTTGATGTAGTTTTTAGTACAAAGAGTAAATTGCATAGATGATCTCTAATTACATGCGGTTTTTATATTTAGTCCTCGATTCTAAGGTATTACTGTATTACATAAATGATCCTCAATTTTTGAATGCTACTCGATAAATAGTCATTTAGGGAAAACCAACTATAAGTGGAGACCATTTATGAAATTTACTCATATATTAATTTTATTTTTAAATTCTACACCAATTTTCCAATAAATTGAATTGAAAATATATAACTTCAACGAAATATCTTTCGTTCCCTCTACTCCTAGTTACTCTCTTTTTATTATTGAAAAAATTAATTTCCAAAACTTTTCAACTACTTTCAGTTTCTTCCAATTCCTCTAATTGTTTCCGCCGTTTTTCAATTTCTTCCAACTTCTTTAGTTTCTATTATTTCCAACTTAAATCCTTCGAGTTTCTTCCAACAATGATTTTTAAAAATGATTTTAGCCTATTTTTCATAATACTATTATTATTTAAATTATTATTATTAGTATTATTATTATCACCAATTTCAATATATTAATACATAAAACAAATTGAAGTACTGGCCACAATTTATATAAAATTTATTTCATTTGGCCCCAAAACACATTTTAGTTACTACTATAAAGTCAATATAAGATATTGAAATATAAAATAAATTAATTTAATGCATATTTTGTAGGGATCCCTACATACTTTTAAGTTAGTTTTTCTTTTTCAAATTGTACACGCACTGGTATAGTTGTTATTTTATAATTTAAAATATTGATATTTTTCCATGAAAAGTTAGATTAATAAAAAATAGCTCTTTTATCCATAATTTTTGTCATATAAATTAATAAATAAAGTGTCTTATTTATATAAAAAATTGATGACAAAAAATAGTATTGAGTGTGAATTGTAAAATTAGTGAAATGATAAAAAATAAAAATAGATAAAGTGAAATAATTTATAAACTATAGTAGTTTTAAAAAGAAGAAGAAGAAGAATAATTATAATGATGATGTATTATTATTATAGAAGAATGATATGGATGGTTGTTTGGAATATTATAGAAGAATGATATGGATGGTTGTTTGGAATATTTTAATTGCTTATTTATTAATTAATAGTTAGTTAGTAGGTACTCCGTAGTATTTTATTATGATAGGATTAGGGTTAGAAGTTGTATTGTTAGGGTTAGGGTTTTCTTCTATGTTCTATATATTGAGATGTAAATCAATAGTTGAGATATCAAGGAATAACATCAAAAGTTTTTGTTCTCTCTTTTCTCTGGTGCTCGGAAGCGCTCGAAGTTATCTTCTCTTTTTGCCTCCCTTTTCTTAGAGTCTGAAGACGCTCGAAGTTCTTCCCTATCCGATACAATTTTCGTATCAAAGGAATTGAAAAAAACTGGAATGAACTAGGAAAAATATGAAGGAATTGAAAAAATTAAAGAGAGCTAGAAAAGAAATCTTGAAGAACTTTCTTTTTGGAAGAACGTGGAAGGAATTAGGAAAAACTTGATTCAAAGGGAAAGTTTTAAAAGAGCTAGAAAAAAAATAAAAAAGCTAGTATAAATTGGTCGTAAATGGTAAAAAATGAAAGTTAAGAGTTTAAACTCAATTGAACAAGCCCAAAAAAGTAGTTTGAAAAAAATGAAAAAGCTGGATGAAATATTTGGTTGGGGGCAATAACTTTAGACCCTTGGCCCGATAGTATTTATCCTAAAAAATAATTTCCTACCACTTATGTAACGAAACGTAAAAATTTGAATCCCAAGAGTTAGAAGTTAAGAGAATAAAGCATTGAAAAAATTAAAAAAAGGAATACAAAATCGGCAAAATTTTCTTGAATCCCGTATGGCGCACGGTTTAAAATGCTACTCCGTAATATATTACTCCCTCCGTCTCCCTAAGATGTTCTCATTTTGACTTTTGGTGGTTTTTAAGGAGAGTTGAAAAAAGGTGAAAGTTTACCATAATACCCTTAATTAAAAATGGGTGGAGTGTATTAAATGAGGTGGGTGAGGTGTAATAAATAAAGTAAGTGGGGGTAGTTGTGGTATTTTAATTGTTAAAAAATGAAATGAGAAGATCTATTGTGGACAAAGAAAAATGGCTATTGGAAAGATCTATGGGGGACAGAGGGAGTATACGGAGTATGTAAGAGTTTATAAACAATTTGGATTCACTTATTAAATACAGAGTACGTTATTAGATATATTAAAATAAAATTTGATTGTTTTTAATTTTTTTTTGAATCTACCATGAAAATATATTACTCCCTCCGTTTGGAAAAACCCTTCCCATTTGATTTGGGGGCAAAAATAAGGAAGTGTTAAATTGTAGTTGATTTTCAATTTTGCCCCTGATGTGATGGGTAAAAGTAAGATGTGATGAATAGATTATTAGAGAAAAAATATGATGTGATAGGTAGGGTATGAAAAAGTAAGGGTAAAAGTGGTTTTTTAATATAAAGGGGAAGTGTTTTGTTGGAAGTGGAAAAAATGAAAGAGGAAGTGTTTTTGAGAACGGAGGGGGTATATACTTCTTTTACCCCTATTAATTTATACCCTGCCTTTCACATCATACTTTTTTACCCTAAACATCTATCAATCACATCTTACTTTTATCCATCACATCAAGGACATAGTTGGAAAGTTAACTACAAATAATTAACCCTTCCTTTTTTGCCCAAATTCAACATAGGAATTGTTTTCCTAAACAGAGAGAGTATATATAAGAGTTTAAAAATAAATTGTATTAGGTTTTAGTGTGAAGCTATCTAAAGTATATTATATTGAAAAGTATATACTCCCTACGCTCATAAAAACATGAGAGATTTTGATTTTTAAGAGATTACAGGAGAGTGAATTTTAGTGTTGAGTTTCCAAAAATGTACGTCCTTAGATGTGATTGGTATAAAGTAGGGTTGGATAGGTAGATTAATAGTGAATAGATATGATGCGATAGTTAAGTTAAAAATTAATAGTGGTAAAAGTGACTTCTTGATATATAAATGAAAAGAAGTTTTTTGGGACGGATAAAAAAAGAAAGGATAAAGATTTTCAGAAACGAAAGGAGTATATATTATATATATGAGTTTAAGACATGGCATGAAGTAATTCAAAACAAATTATACAATATATATATAGTGGTCAAGAAACATATAAACATATTGTCTGGTTATTTAACTTTGGTTGCTTGGGGGAGAAGAGGGCATAAAGAGAAAGTGTACCTATTTTTGTCAAAGGCGGTTCCCATATAGTACTAAACATGCACGATCCAGTATATATTATGTAGTTTTTGCATGCTGTTACGTTGCCTGCAGGTCTCGGTCTATATATATATAAAGGACCTGCATGCACAACTACCTTCACACTTAATAACTCACATACAAAAACAACTTAATAATATATATTAATCCACCCAAAAATCATCATTAACATATATAATAATATCATTTATATATATATAAGATAATAATTAATATGGTGCATATAAAACTTATTCTGTTGTTTCTCATTTCTTCGTCAACAATTCTTTGTTGCTCTTGTTCTGTCTCCGCCGCCCCCTTCAGCGTCTTAACCTATGGTGCCAAAGGTGACGAGACAACCGACGACACTCAGGTAATTTTAATACTCCCTCCGTCCCATTTTATAACGCCTATTTTGACTTTAGGTCATATTTAAGGAAGGAAAAAAATTAAAGTTGACTTTTCAAAATTGCCCCTCACTTTATTTTTTTAAGGTGGGTAGGAGTAATTACATGGGAGGTTATTTTGGGAAGTCCACATAAATAATCATACCAAATAAGGAAACAAGCATATCATTTTGAGACGGACGAAAAATAAAAACATGCATTATAATTTGGGACGGAGAGAGTAGTACTATATGTTAATTAGAAGGAGAAATATTTTAATTAAGTATGACTAAAACATATTATATTCCATGATTTCAATATTTTTCTATCAAAATATTGACGCAGAGGATAAAATAAATGACTTTTATAATTTAAGTTTATTTTATTCAACCAATTAAATATAATAAATGCATCTGTGTGTGTATATAGGCATTCCAAAAGGCGTGGGCAGATGCGTGTAAAGCAGAGGGATCCACATTGTTGGTACCGTCCGGGCATAAGTTCCTCGTGGGCCAGATCTCATTAGTGGGCCCATGCAAAACAAATATGATATTCCAGGTAATTTATATTTACTCTCTCCGTTCTCAAAAACATTCTTCTTTCATTTTTCTACTTCCAACAAAGCACTTTTTTTTTACTTTCTATTAAAAAAAATCACTATTAGTCTTACTTTTTCATGCCCTACTTGTCACATCATATTTTTTCTCTAATAATTTATTCATCACATCTTACTTTTTACTCATCACATCAAGGACAAAATTGAAAATCAACTACAATTTAATACTTTCTTATTTTTACACTTGGTCAAAATTGAAACTCTTTTTGAGAACGGAGGCAGTATGTATTGAATTGGGGTTGCATAATATAATTATAAACTATAGTAACTAATAATATAATTAATAAAAAAAATGTATGTGTATATAATGTAAAAAATGGATGTATGTAGCTTGATGGGCAAATCAGCGCTCCAAGTGTAAGCTCAAAGACATGGGGAGCTGGAGGTACGCTTCAATGGCTGGAGTTCAAAAACCTGAATGGCTTTACAATCACTGGCCAAGGAACCATTGATGGGAAGGGCTCTGGCTGGTGGTCTTCTTCCTCTTCTTCTAAATCATCATCAAACTCTCTACTCATGAAGGACGACGACGACCACATTGATTATAATAATATCTCTTTCGGGGGTCTAAAAATTCCAAGCACTAAGCCAACTGTAAGTTCAGTCAATTCCTCAGTTCCATATTTGAACCTCATCGTCATCCAGTTTTCTTTTTTTTTTTTAAAAACAAATTAAAGGTTTAACTAATTTCCGTGCATGCATGGATGCTGCATGCATGCAGGCATTACGATTCTACGGATCTCAAGGAGTCACCGTAACGGGAATCCAATTCATCAATAGCCCAAAGGCCCACCTCAAGTTTGATAGTTGTTCCAACGTCGCGGTGAACAAGGTTAAAATCACGTCTCCCGAGACCAGTCCCAACACAGACGGAATTCACTTGCAGAACACCAAGGGCGTCACCATTCAAGGCTCAACCATCGCTTGCGGTACGTATAGTACGTGCATGCATGCATGCATGCAGTTTTTTCTTCTACGTAATTTCTTCCAACTCTATGAATCCTAGCTTATAATTAACTATGAACGTACATGCATGCAGGGGATGACTGCATTTCCATACAGACCGGATGCAGCGGCGTGAACATCAACGGCGTGACCTGCGGACCCTCTCACGGGATCAGCATCGGAGGCCTCGGAAAGGACAAGTCCAAAGCTTGCGTCTCCAACGTCACCGTCACCGACTCCACCATCAAATCGTCTTTGACTGCCGTCAGGATTAAGACTTGGCAGGGGGGGTCGGGGTCGGTCAGCGGCGTCAAGTTCTCCAACATCCAGTGCCAGGCGGTGAAGACGGCCATCATGATAGATCAGTTCTACTGCGACGCAAACCACTGTGCGAACCAAACGTCCGCCGTGGACGTGAGCGACGTGTCGTTCCAGGGCATAAAGGGCACCTACACCCAGAATCCCGTCCACTTGGCCTGCAGTGAGTCCCTCGGGTGCACGGGCATCACATTGGGAGGCATAAATCTCACGCCTGCGGGGACCACCGCGTCTCCTCCGTCGTGCCTTGACACGTACGGACAAGTCACCGGGGCCACTACCCCGCCCATCAATTGCCTCAAGACCGGAAAGCAACCTAAGAAGAATGCTGCAACATGCTAATTATGTTATACACATTATTACTCTTCTTAGACTATTGATTGCGTGCAATTATGGATCTAAGCTATATCAATTCAAAAACCTAATAAGTACGTAGTATGTAGAATACTTTAAAGGTACTATATATGTGTGTATTATTTCATACTTTTAATAATAATGATCATGTTACTTTTACAGATATATGGATATGGATAGATCAAAAAGTAATTAATGGTACTTAACTTTGCAAACGTTTTACATTATTATCTTTACCATTATTATTTCTATTCTTTCCAGCCTTTCCAAGGTCTTTCTTAAGCCTTTTTGTGGTCAAAGCCTTAGGGAATCGATTAGTACATCAACCAATTCATCAGTTGCAGCTGTGAAATTAATTTTTGATAGTCTTAATTGTCAAATAATCGATTACTCGTAAATTTAACTTCTTTAAATGTTAATTTTTCAACCATTTTGAAGCCTATAACTACTCTCATCGCCTCCCAACCTCCATAACTCATCCAGACATTAGTTAAGGCAAGAATTTCAAAATACTAGTAGTACTTTTTTGTACCTAAATAAGATGATTTGGTATGCTGTGACGGATCACATCCACCACATCATCCCACTCAGCGTCACTTCATCTTTTCTCATTCCCATCACACCACCATCACATCACAGGGGTATGGATCACGCCCAATTTCTTCTTAATACATTTAAATAAAAATAACTTAAAATAAAACCACTAAATAAATATTTCATTAAGATTCGAATTTAAAATTGCATTGATATAATGCGGGTAAAAAAAGAAATAAGAGCGATACAGTATGCAATTGAAAATTAAAAACAACTTGATTGAAAAAATCAAAGATCGCGCCCAAGTCATCCGCCGCACTGGCTTCGCAACCCTACTCGTGGAGCATTCATTGCGCACGGCCTTCCCTTTAGATTTTCGATTTCGTTGCATTTGGGGGACGCTCTCAACGGGCGTCGGTCCGGCCGTTCCCGAAACTTGTGATGGACTTTGTAAATAATTGCGTTGCCACTCAAGAAATTGCAAATAGTTAGGATCCATAATATATTTTTTATAATATTTAGAGAAATTTAAAAAAAAGGTTGAGAGAGTATATTGAGAGGAGTGATTTTTTAAAGGGTGAGGGGGGTTTAAATAATAATTTTCGAAAAACAAAAAAAATTGAAAACTAGTCGTTGCCGTCAAACGGCTAGTTTTGGGGAGGAACAACTGTGGTGACCGTGATGGCCATGACCCCCATCACGATCACCCTGTAGGGGGAAGATGTTCCACGTCGTGATAGCAAGTGATGCGGCGCCACCTAGCCATCACGACATTACCACGGTTTTCATACCGTGGTGTCTAAAATTGAGTTCACATTGCAACTCCTACACTACACAGTACCACCAAAGTGCTGCTTCCGGTTGCCCGGTGTTGACCACCATTGACCCACCACCACACTACCACTACTAACATTGTTATCATTTACACAATTAAACTTCTATTTAGGGATTAAGATAATCCACTCATATTTTGGTATTTTGATAGAAACTAATATTCCACCTCTCTAGGATTTTTTGTACTATTGATTCGACTATAATGTACTCCCTCCGTCCGGGAATAAACTTCTTACTTTGACTTTTCTTCATTTTTAGTGAGGACTGATTTTAAGAGGGAAATGTCCAAAATACCCTTGTAGTCTCATGACCCTCACTGCCCTAGAACCCCTGGAGGCTGGAGCACCCACCCCCGCCTCAGTTCCCACCATCGCCCACCCACCGCCGCCCCACCCCCGAC